AGTGTCGGAACGTTACTTCGATAAGGCTATGCGTCATGATAATCGCCTTATCGTTGCCGCCGCTGATTACTCCCCGAATCCTGATCACGCAGGAGCAAGTCACCGTCGTCGCCCTAGACACGTCCTTACGGATCCATCAGATCCAATAACTCTTGCATTAGATACCTTCAGCTCTAACACTAGGAGCAGGCTAAGGAACCCCGGTAACCGTACTCGTCGAACTCGACAAAGAGGTCGACGTGCAACTTAACCCATGCATCAGCCCGCTGAGTTTCTCGCCGGATCTTGTCAGTGGGTCGCGATTCCGATCCGGTAGTAGATTCATTCGCGAAGCAATTGCTCTTGAGTTGTTAGGTCTCCTTCGGAGGCGCTCGGGCAGTTGTTAGCAAATCCCACCCCTCCTGGCTGAGCCTTTGCTCGCCCACCTGTCCTGGTGAAGCTGGAAAGGCCTCCGGGCCACCAGTAATCTTTCAATCACAAAAAAAAAAAAAAAAAAAAACACTTGGTCGGCAGATGTATCACGAACACAGGCCGCGCGAACAATGGCCGGGCTAACAAAAGCCAGGCGAACAAAGACCGGGCGATCGAGTGGACGATGAGCACGTCCGCACGTGACGGGTGCCTCTATCGGAATGCATTCGTATCTAGCGATGCAACGGTGTTCGAATCCCGCAGGCGGGCACGAATTTTTCTAATAAAATACGCACTTGAAATGTTCACGATTGACCTCCACGGTGAAGGAATAACATCGCAAAATTATAATTTGCGTAATTACACCTCTTGTGAGTTCGCACGGGTAGGTATCACCACCCTGCCTATTTCCGCCGTGAAGCAGTAATGCGTTTCGGTTTGAAGGGTGGGGTAGCCATTGTAACTATGGCGCATTTACGTCATAGATGTCTATGGGCTCCAGTAACCACTTAACACTAGGTGGGCTGTGAGCTCGTACACCCCTCTAAGCAATAAAACAAAAATTCACATAGATTTTCGCGTAAAGCGTGTATAAAATACATGTCACGCATTGAGAACCTCTTCCTTCTTTTTAAATTGAAATCTCTTGAAATTCCAAACAGAATGATTCTTTCAAGATAACATACCTCTCAAATAAAAGTCACAAATTGAATTCACGAACATAAACGAAGAGAGAAAATGGATAACGACTTCCGGTAAATATAAAAAAAAAAACAACGATATAACTATATTTGTTAACTATTTCACGCGTAAACAAATTTGCAGGCTTTCAATTTGCAAGAATTGCAATGCCAAATGTTCCAGGGATTTCGATAAGATTGTTGAGCTCAAAAATTCTGGTCTCGATGTTTACGTTCACGGGCGGAATTATTTGAAGGTATTTATTTTATCATTACCGTAATATTCCAACGTCTAACAGGAAGTCGCTATTTCTCTTTGAACCGTACACGGAAATTTTACTTATTATTTAATAATTTAAGTACTCAATTTAACGAGACAACAACATATTTCATGTGCAAATTTCATATACCATTTAAATTCTGTTTTTGATATCTATGTATTTGACGACCCACGCGAATTAATACTTAAAGCGAAACGCGAACACTTAAAAAGCCAGATTACATGTTGTGAAATCATGAAAAATACACCCAAATCAAAGACGTGATCGAAATCGAAACCAGTGGTATAGTGTGATAACTAGCAGTTAGATTTATTGGCGTATACATGACGTTAGGCTTACAGAGATACTTATCCGATCGTGACGGGGTAAAGCAAAGCCACTGTCGCCCGTAACATGTCTTGTCGGATCCCCGAATTCACTCTGGCTTTTTTTTATTGCCCATGTAGACAGACGAGCATACGGCCCTCTTAATGGCGAGTGGTTGGCGTCGACTTTTAGCAAAGCTAGGGGCACAGCCAAGCTGCTGCCTTTTAGGTCCCCCAAGCACCGGTCACCGTCCTCGACCAACTTGTCGATTACGACAAAGAGTTCGGCGAGCGAACTAACCCATAGACACAGCCCACTGAGTTTCTCGCCGGATCTTCTCAGTGGGTCGCGATTCCAATCCGGTGGTAGATTCTGCGAAGCACTATTCTTGCTAGGGCCAGTGTTAGCAAATTCTCTCAGGTTGAGCCCGTGAGCTCATCTACCCGTCCGGGCTTAGCTGAAATAGCTTTTTAAGCTACCAGCGAATAGGTAGGGAAAAAAATAGACATGCATAGACGATAGCTACTTACAAATCATACGATGATCACAGATAACCACAGATTCCCACCAAACTGATCTCCATACTTTACTAATACATTCAACGAAAAAGCAAATAAATAAAAGGTCGGTTCACGATTTTAGTGTTTGATATCGTTGCGAAAAGGCTTACCAAACTTTTGACCAAACATTTATTAACTTAGATTTTGAGGTTATTTAAATTTGAGCTTGAAAATATAAATTTTTTGGAACCTCTGGGACTGCGTAGGGACTTCGGTTCCCTCTGTATTCTGTACCGTATGTTCCATGGGGAGTGCTTTGAGTAATTGTTCGAGATGATACCGACATCTTGCTTTTACCATCGCACCGCCTGCCAGGAGTAGAGTTCATCCATACTACCTCGAGCCACTACGTTCATCCACAGTGCGTTTCCAGAGATCTTTTTTGCCACGTACCATCCAGCTATGGAATGAGCTCCTCTCCACGGTGTTTCCTGACCGCTATGACATGTCCTTCTTCAAACGAGGCTTGTGGAGAGTATTAAACAGTAGGCAGTGGATTGGTTCTGCCCCTGGCATTGCTGACGTCCATGAGCGACGGTAACCACTCACCATCACCACCACCATGGGCCGTACGCTCGTCTGCCTATACGGCAATAAAAAATAAAAATCTATTCTATATCTTCTAGATGTGTTTTAGAGAATAAAAATTCAAACTAAATTACATATCTTATTATTTTCTATTCGCATTTCCCAATTATTAAAAAAGGAAGATATCTCCAAACATTTTGTTTAGTAAAGTTATGATTTATAGACAACTATTTAATTTAATACTTTATTACCAGATAAAAGAGTCCGGAAATGTAAAAAGAAATGAAAACGTATTAATTCACAATACAAGCGAAAGAAATCTTAAAAAAAATGAGTACCTTCGAGAGCTATGTAAGTTAAGCTGTATATAATATGTAATGACGTAAAATTAGTTCGATTGTTCTCGAAATAATTCATTGGAGAAGAGTTATTCTTTTATTCGTAATGAACTAAATCACTATTATTTTTATATAGGTGGTTACCAAACAAAATGTTATCACTGTAAATCATTATTGCAACGGGTACGCTCTCTTCTTAATGAGATCAACGAAATAAAAGGTGACAGTGTCGTGGGAATATGTAAATTCTGTCGCAAGCCTAATCCTCAAAATAAATGTAAAAAATGCGAATATATTGTAAGCGAGTTTAAAAGAAACAAAGATCATGAATATGCAGATATAGAGACTCAAACGAAAACGTGGCTCTCTAAATTAAAAACATTATTAGAATCGATTCTAAAAGAAAATGTTTGTTGCAAGCATCAAATGTATGATGGTTCAGCTATCGAACTCCAAAGATTACTGAAACATTTGGATGATCCTTCATTTATTCGTAATCCGCAGCTTGGCACTTTTCTCCATTCAGCACTACCCTTGGTTTCAATTGATAATATTTCTGAATGCAAAGTCCTTAAAAAAGTCATTTCGAAACTTAACACTCAGAGTTTTATCAAACGGTATCAGTCAGAAGACAGTCTATATGTTATGCCGTCTAACACCAACAATGCAAGATGCGTTTGCAAATACTTTTTGAATAAAGAAGAGAGGACCTCTGTGGAGGCTCTGTTTAAGGACGACGAACATTTAAGTAGTACTTGCATTCTGGAGAAAAGTGAATCTAAACATAGTCTAGATATTATTAACAAATCTGCACATAAAGAGAATATCGCCGAGAGAACACCAGTAAAATCTCTTAAAAAGAAAAAAAAATCAAATTTAAAATCAAAATTGCAAATAGAAGAAAATCAGAAAAAAACAGGAATGGATTCTGAAGACATTATTTTGTTAAAAATGATGAAAAACAGAGAAAAGGTTAAGAACGTTAAAGAAAAAATAAACAAACAACCCAAAATGACTCAACTACCAAGTTTTGGAAAATTACCCACTATAAAAGTAAAAGAAAAACAAGAATTAGTGGATTTATCATCAGAAAGTTCATTAAAATGTGGTGATTTTGAACCAAGCAAACCAAAGGATATGATCCAAGACACTAAAATTGTGCCGTTTTCGTTTGCTTATGAAAAACATAATCCCTTCGAGCCAATAATATTTAAGGCAAATATAGACTGTAGTGATCCTTTTACTGAAATAATTCCAACATCAAGTCCTAACGTAGAATTGAAAAAGAACATTGATAAAAATATGAAGATTAAATCTGATAGGGTTCAAAATAGTGATATCTCGGTTAGCGATCTTAAATAAGTTATAATGAGAATAATGAGATAAGTAATATCGTGTTCAATTAAGATTTTTGCAGGCTACTTCATTAAGTGGTATCGTTAAGTATCAGTTATCGAACAAGGAATTCATTGATAAAGGTTGGACAAAATTGCCAACTACAAAAATAATGCGTAAGGTATCTAAAAATGGAATTAAAATTTTACTTCATTTAGCTCATTACCACCACATGACAATAAAAAGGGACTGCTTACAAAATACAATTACAAACAAAAAACTAAAACTATTATTAATAGACAATTGACAAGACTATTATCAACAGAAGTATTTGTAGTATTAGCAACTGATCATGGTCTTGTACTGTTTTTCATCAAGTGACCTTGAAGCTCATCTACATTAGCAATTACCGTGTTATGGCATATAGCCAATTAACAAGACTTCTTTGAGATCTGTTTATATTACGATCTTCGCCCTATCTCTTAAAATGATTGATTGAAATAGCATCTGACAAAATTAGCCTCTTCGTAAGCCATGTGTCAGATAAGGAGCTCTTCAATTTCGACGTTTTGAGGTCTTTTAGTTCCATCGAAGACCATGCCTTTGTTCCAGGAAATATTTTGGGGTTCTTCAATTTTTACAAGAAATATCGTTTTATAATTCGTATTTTTAGATTAATATTTACAAAATGATGCCAGCTAGTCTTGAAGGTGATTGGTTCGAAAGGCACAGGGAGGAAAAAATTATGCACTACAATTCCGGCGAAGTTCTAGCTGAAATAGATGAGACCGGCCACGGTAGATGGTTTTATAAAAATGGAAATGTAGCGTTACATCATTACGAAGCTAAAGGTACTGTTCAAGATAGATATGCTTTTTATTGGTAATAAGACTTAATTTGTGAGTATGTCGTATAGCTTGTTACAACGTCTTATCTATTTGTGCACCAAATTACGTAGGTATTCTGAAGACTTGAACTTTGGATGCAAGCCACGATGGGCCCATCTATGCTGCGTGATGAAAATTGCGCTGAAAATTGCGATCTTGAGTTATTAGGGGCTGTAAAAATATCAGATTATGTGTATAATTACAACCCTTAAGCAAATTGAAATTTACAGAAAACTGTATTGAAAGTTGCAGAATATATTATAATATAATAATATAATTGGACTGCACTGTAGTTTCTTGGCGTAATATAACAAGTGTCATCGCCACAAATAACGAATGGTAGGTGGTTTTACTGCGAACAGAGGTAAAACTGAAGATCGCCGTTGTAATGATAGTGTCTCTGATGTTGGGATTACAGTTTAGATATACTTAAAATTGGAGACTTGACGCATTTATATCTTGTACACTTTCTAAACTCAAAGGTATAAAATTTAACTCCAAATTCCTCTAAATGTATTCTCGCAGCCTACACGTTTTCTCAGGGAAATCACGTTAAATTTGGACACTGGTAAAAATAAAACAACATGAAAATATTATACATTTTTAGAGAAGTTGGCAGATCAGAGATATGTCGTGTATAGTTCTGGAGAAAGCGTTAACGGTAATCCAGTTCGCGTAAGCATTTTGGCAGCCTTTGACTATTTAGGAAATGGTGTTGTTTACGATGATTTTGGGAATACCAGGTAACTTTAAGCACATTTTATATTCAAGTAAACAATCATTATGAGCTTTACGTTGATTAATAGAAATATTTACTATGTTCCATGTTATGTTACTATGTATTTCCATATTTATGCGCCTAAGTATGCACATCTAAATCACTTATGAAAACACACATTAAAAAAAATGAATTTCTTTTAGGTTGAAATACAATCAATTTGAAGGGATTGTGTGCGATTCAAAAATAGCACCGTTCACCCGATGGAAATGGCACGACCTGAACGATCCTCTTGTATTGGAGTCGGTCTTCATTGATACGTACGAGGGGAATATTAATTCATCATTTCCTGAATTCGTGAACGAAGACAAAGATGCAACACGAGAACAATCGAAGAATCCAGAAATGCTTGAGATTGAATTGGAAAATCAAGTCAAAGAGAAATCTGATAAATTACTCAAAAAATTTAGGCCATTTCAAATTCGAATGAAGGCTTTCAAAATAAATCAACAGTTTTCATTAAGAGTGATCGATCAAACGAACATTTACCTGTTGTTTAGGGTTGGAACTATATCACTGAAATTGAATCTGGGGATGTTCTTGGTCAGTAACGAGATTGTTGATACGGAATCTGTTGACGTTAGTCAAGTGGTCACTCCCTACGACAGACTCCCGCCGAAATCGCAAAGCGTAGCTGATATTCAACGAGTATTGTTTGAAGTCAGGAAATGTCGAAAGGCCGATGCAGCCTCTCGAGTTAATACTGTTGGTAGAAGTACACAGACGACTAGACAACTTGAGTGATCAGATAGACTAGGAAAATAAATTGAGCGTAACAACTAAAAATACTGAAGACCTACTAAGCTTAGTTATAAAACTAAGCATAGAGGAAGACTTAAAGAAGATATGATTTTAATAATAATTTCATATTTAAACTTAGTAAAAAACAATAACTAGAATGTATGTATCATGGTGTTACAATAAAATGTTAAAAACCCAATAATTTGTATGTGTATTTTAGTACATAGTAATATTTACCATTAAATAAATTGTTTAAGACTCGTGTGGAGTGCTCATGAGAGGTCACAAAGCGTGTTGTCAGCTACGGATAGCTGTTTTCTTGATTGCATTTTCTTATCCCGAGGACATCGTTATTTTAATATTAATAAACTAGCGGTGTGATACATTTTACCAGGTGGCACTCGAGTTCAACGACCTCGTTTGCGCATCCACGCTTTTATAACCGTTCACCCTCCATTTGTTTATTGATGTCAAAGTCAGCTGTCATTAGTTACACTTGGATGATTATTGCCAGAGTTTCTTTGCTGCGTTGTTTTTCCTTTCTTCTTTTATTTAATTTTCTTATTAAAAAACCAGGACTTAACAATATTATACTCGTACATTATAAGATTTTATTTCGCAATTCGATGACAAAAGCAGTTTTTTTAGGAATTCAAAAGTCGTCGTTAGAATTGCAATATAAAAGAATTTAATACACAATATACTCAATGTGGTTCCTTGAATTTTCTGTATATTGACATTAATTACATTACATACATTGTACATGAATGGTGGTAGGACCTCTTGTGAGTCCCCACGGATAGGTATCACCGCCCTGCCTATTTCTGCCGTGAAGCAGTAATCTGTTTCGGTTTGAAGAGTGGGGCAGCCGTTGTAACTACATTGAGACCTTAGAACTTATGTCTCAAGGTGGGTGACGCATTTACGTTGTAAATGTCTAAGGGCTCCAGTAACCACTTAACACCAGGTGGGCTGTGAGCTCGTCCACCCATATAAGCAATAAAAATAAACCTTAATGAGTAACGTTTAGATTCCGATGTTCAATGACATGTCTAGCAAACGTTGAGTAACATGTAAATATTTAAATTAAAATAAAACACGCATTGCTGCTACACGTACATTTATTCATAACAATATGATATTATTATAAGGTAAAATATGTTAATCTTTAGCCATACGATATTAAGTACAACGTCGATACATTGAGTGATTGAAATTAATATCAGAGAAATTAAGAAGATAGTTGTTCTTAAAAATTACAAACATTATTTATACGTTCAAAAATCTATCTTATTTTGAGATACTATCAAGGAGGTTACTGTTAGTAAAGAAATAATATGTTACTGTAGCAAGCTTTTGGACTATCTTCATCAATTTAATATGCCACTTCAAAATATTATCATTAATCCGTTTAATTTTCTTTTAGCAGTTCGATTTAATTAAGCATCAAATTGCCTTACAAACAGTTCTCTAAGCATCGATCGACAACACTTCCAATAATGAAATATAGTCCATTGAGATTTAATGTTTGATATTTAGAATATTAATAAACAATTCACAATAAACGTAATTACGAATCTAACTCAGATGTAGCGGTTCGATTGTGTATCATTCAATATATGTATCATTACATTATCATATACATCAATGTGTGTATCATTTTAAGAGATTATGTAATATATTCCTTAATGTATAATCTTAAAACAACGAATTTGTACTATAGGTGCATTGTTAGTGAACACGAAGTGTGTTTCTTTTATAACATAAAGGAAATGATAAACTTACAAACCATCAAAGGACGGCTTATCTAAGTACCTACTAGCACTGCGATACGTCCTCCGCGGCAGTCCTTACACTAACTTAGTAAATTAGTACTTTCTTCTTCATAATAAATTTATAGTCATAGTTTTTTTTGTTTACGAATAAAATGAAATGTCTACATGATAAAATTAGTGGCTTCAGCAGCCTCGCCCGCCTAAACTACAACGATTAAATATTTCCATTAAATATGTCAATTATTTTTATTCGAATTACTGCCCTCATGAACTTCACTAATATAGAGCCCTTTATTACGTGAGGTTCAGATGAAGGTAGCCGCGTTCATGCGAAAGGCTTTCATCATGTTTCATCCTTTAATGGAATGCCCTACGAACACCTTCATGTACATACAAAGTACTAAGGGCCTAGACCCGTTTACGGGCTACAAGACCTACTAAAAGACGGTTAGCCTGATATTTATAACACATATCTTAATATTAATAGTGTCTTAACTACTTTATTATTAAGTTGATATTTAAATAAGCTAAATTATGTGCAGTGTTTTTCTTTTTTGTCCATCTACTATATAATGTTAAGTATCAATGTATATTATGGGATTCCTTGTTCCCAATTGTTTTCTTTCTTTCTTATTAACCGTTCTATTTAATGTGCAAAGTTATACATAATAATAGCAATAACATTAGTTATATAAACCTAAGTGAAAACAAAACGTTGATAGTTTATATTACCATTGAACTATGATGTACTTATACATAAAGTGCATACGTTAAAATCAAACCCAGCCAGTCGATTTTAACGCATAAATAAAAAATAAAAAAACGAATTTGACTATCTCTTTCAAATAGCAAGGTTTTCCGAAACCCATATTGTTAGTTACCAATCAACGTTAAAATAATAATTTATTATTCATAGTGGTATAACATATTCAGTGTGCACTTAATCGATATGATTAATTTATAAAATCCTTAGAACGTAGATAAAATATTAAATAGATAGCATTGGTCAGTAGAAATACATTCCAACGTTGGGGAATCCAGTTTACACGGGTTCCTCTCGCGCCTTGATGAAGTAGGTGAGGAGGTCGATTGGCAGTGGAAACACGATGGTCGAGTTCTTCTCAGCCGAAATTGTATTGAGGGTCTACGTCAAACAGAAAAAATGTAAATAACATTTCCGGTATCTATATATTAATATGTGAAGCAAAAACTTTGTATCCCTTTTTACGAAAATTGCGCGGACGGAGGAGTATGAAATTTCTCACCCTTTTAGAGAATATAGAGAAGGAGTGCACAATACAATTTTTTTTTTAAATATTGCATAAAATATACTTTAAATCAATAAAGAAAACATTATTACACATACTACCATGTATTTGAGACAACACATACATAAAAATATACTATTTGCTTACTGTCAATTGGGAAAATTTTGTTATTGTTTAAAGTCTGTGGTCGAATTGAAAATAGATTCATATTGTTTGTCTTTAATATTATTGATCTATAGCGCAGTTTTGGCGAACACTGTGATTATATTATCGAATTATAATAGTGTTTAACAATATATCCATAACGATGCTTAAACTTATAATTTCAATTAATTATAGTCGAATTTCGACTACTGCGGGGCCACTAGTTAACGTAAATGAGCCAGGGAACTGTTAATACGGCTAGAGAATTGAAGGCAATAGATAATCGTATCATAAATCTGTTTAATTAAGGCTTTAGCAGTCGTTTGACCGTGAGCACTCATAGCTAAGTTCAGGTCAGACAACTTCTAACAAAATTAAAACATACCTAGTGACGAAACTGCGGTCATCGAAAGTTGGATTGGGTTAAGGGGGTAAGACAATGGGTAAGACCATGTACCTTTAAAGCAAAGCAAAGAACCAACAAATGGACATCGGCGGCTGGGTTGCTTAGTCTCGCATTGGCATGACGTGGTGCTGTTGGCTTTTGTGAATTTTTTTTTGTTACTTAGATGGGTGGACGAGCTTACAGCCCACCTGGTGTTAAGTGGTTACTGGAGCCCATAGACATCTACGACGTAAATGTGCCAACCACCTTGAGATATAAGTTCTAAGGTCTCAGTATAGTTATAACGGCTGCCCCACCCTTCAAGCCGAAACGCATTACTGCTTCACGGCAGAAATAGGCGGGGTGGTGGTACCTACCCGCGCAGACTCACAAGAGATCCTACCGCCAGTAATAAATAAAAAAAATTATTAGAAGTTCCCTATCACCGGTGACTGATGACCCATAAAAACGTAGTTAATAAGTAATTTACTGGTCCACTAACATCAAAACATGCCTTTGAAGTTTGATGTTCGATAAAACTCAATTTTGGTATTATTATAAAATTCTAGGAAACTCGATACAAAAATCATGTCCAATTAACAAAATAATATTAAAACGAGGCCTTGTTTTGTTGAGGCTTTTAAATTTCCCTCACCATTTTCCATTTTATCGATCGATGATTTTATTTATAACCGTTACTGGGAAATAGCAATTTGGGATTTCGAACTTACAAATATGGTGGTTGTTCTTTACTCGATATAATTTAATTTTACTATTGACCTACTGTGTACAGTACAGTAGTATATTGTACCTTTAGTAGTAGTATACTATAATCTACTAGGAACCTTTTTCAATTCATGAACATGCTATGTAGCTGTCATGGTTTAATGTGACGGCTGATCACAAATGAACAAAAGGATTTTTTGGCGGGAACGCGAGGGTGAAGTTGTGTGATTTATTTTATTTTGTTTATTTAGTGTTTCTTCAGGTTTAAATGTGTAATAACGGTGGTTTATTAACTGTTTAATATCTGTGAAAGTGCACGAATGTGGGAAAATGAAACAAAGCCGCTGGACGTAATTCCGTATAATTAATTTCATCCCAGTTGATTAATATCTCGAATTAATCATTTTCACTTCTTTTCATTTCATTTTATTTCAAATTATCATTTTTCATAAAAATAAGAATATAACTTAAAATAAGACATGACTTAAAGGCCTTAGTTACCAGGTCATAATATTCCTTAAAAAAACAAATGAACAAAAAGTATCTAATATGTTAGATCGCCTGGATCTAAGTAACGAAGTATTGCACGTAGAGAGTAAAATTTATAATTCGACGCAGACGACGCCGCGACGGTGCCACGCAAAGCCACCGTTGCCTTAAGCACTTCCTATCTAATCCTCCCGTACCAATCTTAGTGCTTTTAAGCAATCCAAGCAGCGATTTTATTTCTCGTCGAATATGACGAAGGGTTCGACGTGCAATCTAACCCATAGCAACAGCCTATTGAGTTTCTCGGCGGATCTCCTCAGTGGGTCGCGTGTCCTATCAGGTTGAGCTCTGTGACCTTATCTGTCAAATCGCGCGTCACTGGAATAGCCTGTTCAGGCTATCTGTGATTACGTAGGAAAAAAAAACATAAAAATTTAAACATTACTAGATTTAAAAAGAAACAAAATGCGATACACTTCAAAATTGTAGCTTAGTACTCCAATATTTCGGTAACCATGAATTTTTTTATTCGTACTAATTCAATTTTTAATTGATTCCGTTTTATTCAATATTAATCTCATTAAAATAGTGCCTTTGATCATATTTATCAGGCACAGGTGGCCATCAATTTTAAACTCAATTTTGTGCAGATGGGTTTCTGGTTGTTTCTTGTTAACAAGCCGCAAGGGCGCTTGCAGCATGCGTCATTGTTTTCGACATAATGCAATAGTTAATGAAGCCGCGATAATGTTGATGTAAAATCCATGCTGCGCTTGTGGTCGCTTCGTTACGAAGTATTTAATTAGTATGGTATCAGTGTGTTGATTTTAATACTCTTAATAGGCAAAAAAAAAATTCGATAATTAAACCCCCTTATGTTTGGAACGAATATATGAAAGAGTCAAATGTATGTACATACACGAGGCATAATAGGATTTGTCTGGTCTCCTATACATTTAAAAAATAAAATAAACGCAGTTTCTCTGCGTAACGCATGAACTGTAATTACAAATCCTCAAACTAACCAAGAAACAATCAGTCGTAGGTTTAAGACGGAACATAATACTCAAACTATTCATTTAAGAAAAAAAGTAATTTTGAGGCTTCTCAAAACTAAATTAAAATAGTTTAAAAATACTGAAAAATCGAACTATGATAAGTATTTCTAATATCCGATTTATAATGCTATCAGCTTAGAAGCATGCGGCTCATGTGAATTTGGGGTCCTTCGACCATGGTCCTCAGAAAGCTCAATAAACGAGCAATATGCTCATCTTATTAAGGACGCTTTTTGAAACCTCTTTACAAAACCGAGATACTATTCATATGTAGTTTAAAAACTCAAGTTTCTTATTTATTCAACTACCTCTTTAACCCTGCTATTTCTTGTTTTTGTAGTTGTTACTATACTATTGTGTAGTTTTTTTGTTGTCTTGTTATTACGGAGAGGCTCAGCCATTCTATTTTAAGTCCAAAATCTAATATGCGTTCATCTATCAATCCGTGTATGTATACATATCATAATATATATTTGCTTTCATGTATATACATATATTTTATGTTTATTCTGCTTTATATTATTACGTAGCTATAATGTGCTCTAACATGGATTTTTGAAATTTATTATCTTTCCCCGTGTTACTTTGGTTATTTCAGAAAATTCTTGGAATGTGTTAAGCTTGTTGTTCTACGTTTTATAGTGAATTATTTGTGTAATAAAGATTAATAGTTCATTTTAATTTTTAATATTTTTGTTACTTAAGGATATATATAGGTAATCTTCCTTTCAAGATAAAGTTTTATTGCATTTACCGTATGTTAGTTGAAATTATCTTTTTACTGGTGGTAGAACTTCTTGTGAGTCCGCACGGGTAGGTACCACCACCCCGCCTATTTCTGCCGTGAAGCAGTAATGCGTTTCGATTTGAAGGGGCAGCCGTTGTAACTATACTTGAGACCTTAGAACTTACATCTCAAGGTGGGTGGCGCATTTACGTTGTAAATGGCTATGGGTCCCAGTAACCAGTTAACACCAGGTGGGCTGTGAGCTCGTCCACCCATCTAAGCAATAAATAAAAATCCAGTTATACTTATACCTTAGAAAGATAAGAGAAAACTCTTGTTCGCAATCCGGCCTAAATGTTATAATGTTTTAGAATAAGTAAAACGCTATATGTACTATTAAATATTATCATTACATATTGTTTGCTAAAATGTGAACTAAACTAAAATAGGAATTAAGGTTTGATAATTTCAAAATTCTCAATGAAAATTTGTATCTTTGGTGTTAATTTATTACGTTCCTAAAGAAAAAGTTGTTGTGGATTTTTTATCTTTATTAAGACATATAATACAAAAACACGTATGTGTCTATATGTAAAAATCGCTAATCAATTTCCTTAGTAGCAATTAATAATTGAAGACTTTTTAAAAAGTTTCACGCAGTTCAAGATAAAAGGATTTTATTGTTATTTTCGCCGTCTTCTTACCTGTAGGTATCGTAGCTGTAAAGCGGCAGGGCTGTCACCAATGACTTCTGAGGCCTCACGGAGAGCTCGAGAAGCTTTCTGTTCTCCCTCGGCGGCGATGACCTTGGCACGAGCCTCGCGAGCAGCCTCGGCTTCGGCGGCCATGGCACGTTGCAACTGCACCGGTAGACGGACGTCTTTGCTGTTAAAAAATAAATATGCATCTTAACCCATGTACTTGAAGGTAGACATTGGCTTGGCCCTGCCATAGCTGACGTCCATGAGCGAAGGTAATCACTCACTAATAGGTTGGTTGTATGCTCGCTTGCCTACAAGGACAATAAAAAACATTTACATTTTTTTATTGCCCCTGTAGGCAGACGAGCATATGGCCCACCTGATGGTGAGTGGTTACCGTCGCCCATGGACCTCAGCAATGCCAATTTCTATATAAAGATAAAGTAAAAGTGAGCAGTGCATAATAGCTATCTATATCTATACTAATATACCTATATAAATGTACAGTGGTTTTTACGGATATTCCGTTATAGCTACTGAACCATGCATCTGATTGACTTGAAACTTAGTATCCATGTAGAAAATACATGTACTTAATGGATAGGCTAATATTTAAATGAGTGTTGGACTTCCTAATAATAATGAAAATAAATAATAATCTATACTGATATATAAATCTACAGTGGTTTTTACGGATGTTCCGTTATAACTACTGAACCATGCATCCGATTGACTTGAAACTTGGTATCCATGTAGAAAATACATGTTCAGGCTAATATTTATATGTGTTGGACTCCCTACACTAGTTGCGGGGACGTTAATGATGAGAATCTTTGTGGGGGTGAGAAATAATAATCTTTATTTGAAATGCCCAGCGAAGCGGACAGGTACAGCTAGTTTACTATAAGAATAAAGAAGTCGTGTTTTACTTCTAAAATGATCATGGTTTACATTTGCCTGCGCAGAGCATCTATTCCGCCAGGCATATAATAATAAGAGGGGGTATTCGAAATTATTCGAAGTTCATTATCCTACTCGTGTAATACGAAGAGATTTGGGCGACGTACGTATTATTAATAAGATATGACATCCAAATCTTTTAAATTCAGTATAATCGATATTTTTAATTTACAAAGAAATTGAATCAAGTCAAAGACTCTAGAAATCTATATTTTATCTCGCGGGACAAAATGCTCGTTTGATAACTCATATCAAATCAAATCAAATCAATTTTTTTTTTATTCAACATAAATGAGACTACATACTTGTTGAACGTCAAAAAGAACTACGGTCAATTCACAAAAACTGGCCTCCGTCCAGAGAAGAACTGGCAAGAAACTCAGCGGGCATGTATTTTTTTTAAATATTAGATTTTTTTTATATTCATTTTTACAAGAGGTGTGTTATAACGTAACAATTATTGCAATATTGAAATGCCCGGAGCGAGCAACTCATTCCCACTTTGTGCAATCTTCTAGATAATAATTGACTTTATAGTAAGCTTTATTGCTCAGATGTTCTTTAATAGTTTTCTTAACCCTATGTATATGTAGGTTCTGAACATCTTGTGGGATTTTGTTGTACAGGCGCACAGGCAACACCCGAATGAATTTCGTATCTTATGTAACCTACTCATCGGCATATGAAGCTCGTGTTTGTTCCTAGTATTTCTATTATGTAAGTCAGACTTTTTAGGAAACTCCTCAATATGTTTACGAATATACATAAAATTTTCAAAAATGTACGGGGATGGCATCGTGATAGCTTTAATTTCTTTAAATCTTTCCCTCACGGATTCCCTTGAGTGTTATGTTATAAATAGCACGTATAGCTCTTTTCTGCAGAATAAATATTCGAATAGAAATTCCACAGCGTGAATATTCCTTTGAGTATTCCATAGTGGAAATGTCATCAGAAATACTAATATTCTTCAAGTGAATAGGACTCATAGATAATAATAAATATTTACTAACAATCACACCACGTTAACTAGTCCCGTGATAAGTTCGTAAAGAACTTGTGTTACAGGTACCAGATAACGGAAATAAATGTAAGATTTTTATTATACTAATACATATATTTAAGATACATCCATAACCCTGGAAAAGACATTTATATTTATCNATAAGTTCGTAAAGAACTTGTGTTACAGGTACCAGATAACGGAAATAAATGTAAGATTTTTATTATACTAATACATATATTTAAGATACATCCATAACCCTGGAAAAGACATTTATATTTATCATACAAATACCTTCCCTTGGCGGGATTCGAACCCGCGACCCCCTTGTGTAGTGACCATGTCACTTACCACTACACCAGACGGCCGTATGGCTTTATTCCTTTCGTCATATCGAGATTGCGCACGGTATGTACGCTTTGCATTTGAGACGTATGTTGCAACTGACCCGTTTCGGCCAAACTAGATGTTTTCCGGTTCAGAAACTAGTTACCGTAAAACCAATTTCACTGCTCCGAGTATCTAGGGCAGTATGAGGTCGTTCCGGGAATATTATTGGATTCTGAATTTGTCCGTGGAATTTAAATAGTTATTGTCATTGAGTGTCAACAAAAAATATCAGAGACATCAAATTAAAACAAATTTTCAGTCTTACATACATTTTTTTCCTTTCATTATCTAAAAATGCGAAAGATATGTTTTTTGTTTGTTACGATTTCACGTCTTAATTACTCAAGTTGTTTTTTTCAGCCACGTCATAAAATATATACAGGAAGGTCAAAGTTCTTTCATTTCTGTCATATACCTTTCATTCAAAACACAAGTAGGTATTATTTCCAAATACAGGCAGGTTAATTTTTGATAGATAGATCAAAGCTACGTTTAAAAGCTAGCTGTATTCTACTGATAATTTATTACAGCATGCAAACAAAGTCAATATAAAAATCAAATATTAAAACCTTTGTGAAATATCGTTTATATCAACAATTCAATCCACCCATTTGAATCAAATTGATTTTAATTCTAACCATCTAAAGTTCAAGGATGTATCAATTTTGACATAGACTTTCAAATTATGGTAAGGCATTTATAAAATTGAGACTTAGAACTCATGTCTCAAGTTGGGTGTCGGTATTTGCTTTGTTGATGTCAATGGGCATAGATAACTTCTTACCACCAGGTTGGTCATGAGTTCGTCCATCCATGTAACTAATAAAAAAAAGCTAAGATCTTGTTCTCATAATGTCTTAAACCCCAAGGATTGGCAACGCAAAAAGGAGACCAAGGATCTACCACGCACACTCCCAATTCAACGAAGACCGCTCTAAGATTAAACACCTAAAATTAGAATTTCCAAATTTTCCATTTAATCATCCAAACTTGGTTTTTACCGTTATCAATTTGACTTTGTTTAAAAAATATATGTTTAAGAACCACGATGTTGTGACGAGGAGAGGCCTATGTCCAACAGTGGACCGACCGATAATGACTATGTGGTTAGTGAACATAGAATAAAAAAAAGTCTGACAGAGGTTGGATCGATTTGTTGATTAAAGAGGATGAACAGATAAAGGTGCGTCGTGCCATTTCATTAATAAGTGTGGCAATTGTATCAAGGGTGTGTTCGGACTTGCGTAATTCGTTACATACTATTAATTAATTAGACGACCATTACTGAACTTCAAACATGCCACAATTAATATTTTCCAATAATATAGTAGTTGACTTTGAAAAATTAAAGCACTTATAGTGTGTAAAATGACACGTAAATACGATAATTAATACATGATAATATTATTATATTGTGTATCTATCTGTAGTAATTGAAGCCAAAAGGTCGTTGTGATACTGCTATGTAAAATTGGTCTTAAAGTTATTTAGGTAGTCTGCAATGGAAATCAATTACACTGGAAGCGCCAAACCGTCTAAATTTGTGAGCTGCGATACACCTCGTAATTTTATACATATATTTCTTAATTACGTTCAATCGATCACATGAGTAAAAAGATACGAAAATATAATTCTTTTTTTTTCGAGATACAACGGCATTAATGTCAGAAATAATATTATAATAAAGATATGTATCTGACGCTTAATGAAGAAGAGCTTACCTTCTACTACCTTCTCCTCAACCAGTAGTTGGTAATATTTTCGCATTTTTTTAAAAGCGTGTCCGTGTGTGAAGATGTACTATCTTCGATAGGTAATAGTGATCGGTGGTAATTTTAGTAAGCGGTGTACGTTTCAACAAATCGCACCGTTAGCATTATAGAGACTCAACCCAAAAATATGTTTTTTGAATAACACCGAATAAAGTTTTCTAATCGAAAAGATGTAAAGGAAGGGGACGGCCATTCCGATTCAGGCACCCGTCGCGTGCTGACGTGCTCATCGACCGTTCGATTGCCCGACCTCGGTTCGGGGCACATCTGGCGTCCAAGTGTTTTTCTCGGAAGTGACTACCTGTGTTAATTGCGTCGCATCGCCATCTGTGAGCGGGCGGACCTCTAAATTCCAGGAATTCGTTCGGTAACTTAGTGGCCCGTTTGCAAGCGGACGGCTGTGTGCCGTAATTAATTGCGATTATTACAATTTTTGGGGCCTCGCCGTAAGGCGAGTGTGTTTTTAAAGTCCCGGGGCAGCCCCCCCTGGGCACTCGTCTATTATAATGGAGTCCACGGTCGACCTGTTTGCGGAATTCCTTCGCCTTAGGTACCCAACGCTATCGGCAGAATTTTTAGAATTCAAGGCCCATCACGCAGCGAACTCGCCGGCGGTCTCCGTCGCCCCCGTCGCTCCTGCGTCGTCCGTCGCGGCCTCCGTCGTGCCCGCTGATCCCGTGTCGCCGATACTCGCGCCCAAAACTTCTGCGTCGACCGTTGCAGCTTCCGCCCCAACCGTGCGTTCGTCGGCGACCTACGTTGCATCCGTGCGTTCGTCCACAGCCTCCGTTGTGCCTGCGTCGTCCACTGCTCCCGCTAAAACACCCACCCGCAGGTCGCCCGCGCCCTCCTCATCCGATTCAGAGTCGGACATGGAGGTCGACCCTTCCTCCGCCGCCGCGACTGATGGATTCACAGTAGTCCAAAAAGGTAAAAAGCGCGCTGCGGAGGCCCGAGCTCCCGCGGCCGCTAAAGTAAGCAAAGCCGCGAACGCGTCGCGTCCCCGCCCTCCAACCCCCGTCGCTCCCGCTGTCCGTGCCACACCGTCGCCGCATCCAG